TTATGACTTCCAGAATCAAAGGACACCTCTCCAGGCCGATGCGATTCGAGATGCTGGCAAAACTTTTCTGGATTGCCATTTGAAGCTGACGCAGATATCGGCCCGGTTACTTGCATTGGATAGAGGACATTCTAGAATTATGCAATCTGCAGTATGCCTTGCAATCTCCTGATGCTCAGGCTCGGGATTGTGGCTTGGATCCTGAAGCCAAAATTCCATGATTCTCGTCAGAATGGATGGCTCTGTTCGGCTTTGTGGGATGGGCTTCATATCAATATCTGAGGCTATGTTGCACCTTCTGCGACAGAGCCATTGCTGGAGCACCTTGGTACCATTTGAGTATACGTAATCCAACCTGTAGCCGTGACTGTGCTTCAACCTCAGGATACAACACGAGATATTCGCATAATTTCTCTGGGGAAGATGCAATGGGATGGCTAAAGCGCCCGGGTCCCTAGTGGATCATCATTGCATTCTATCAGGGAGCCGCATCGGCATCATGAGCAAAATCGCTGAATCTACTTGCAGGCATATGCCTGAAAGCACCACGAAAGCCTGCTGCTATGGCGAAATGGGTTCTGCACATGGGCCGATTGAGAATGGTTGCGGCCAAGCGTGGGCTCAATCCGAAGCTTGGATGTACCCATTTGTGGCCATTTCAAACCTGTTTCTGCTGGGATTCTTGCAACTTAGGAAGGTGCGCCAAAGGGGATGGAAGCGATGATGAGTCGTTCCGAAGCCTGGTTGCATGGGATTTTGATGATTTCATGTGTGTTTTCTGCTCCCAAAAGCTGGAACACTGTGTCGATTTCAGTGCCCAAGGAGACATTCGAAGCTGGGATTGGCGTGATCATGCGCCAAAAAAGATGGAGTCCGATGCTTTCAAGGGGGGGTTTTCACGAACCTTAAAAAATGCCCTTTGACGCAACCGCCCGGTTTAACCTGAAGGTTGTGAACCGCCTCGTTTTACCAGCCCTTTAGAAGAGCAGGGATAGTTTAAGGCCCTTAAGCTAACGCAGGGTTTATATCATCAACCGTATTGGATCCGGAAACCGCAAAGAACCAAGATCGTTGAATCCGAACACCCAAGCCTGCAACCCTAAACTCGAAATCCAGACCGGCAATAGACAAATCCAAACCCCACAACCCGTGCAGAACCCTACCAACTTCTAGAGTATGTTGTAAGCCCACATCTTCTAAAAGCACTGCAAAAACCCCTAAACTCCCTCAACAACCCTCCTCCTACTCCTTCCATAAATAACCTACCTACTAAGTCATCCACCTCTCTTTCCAACCCTAAACCCTCATCTAGCTATGAAGACCCTACCCCCTAAACTCTACCCGTATCGAAACCCTTGGGGAAAGGACCGGTCGGAAGTGAGCTCCGCATTCACACATCTGTGGAAGCTCCTGGAAGCTCTACAGGATGGGTTTTAGGGTTGAGTAGGATTTAGGGGTTTAGGGTTGAGCGGTTGAGGCTTTAGGGTTTAGGGGTTTAGGGCCTAGGGGTTTTGGGTTTGGGGTTTTGGGTTTGAGGTTTGATGGAGTTTTACAAGGGTGTTGTTCATGGGGTTGGAATGGGTCCTGGAAGCAAAAAAGTGGGAGGTTCTCAAGACGAGGTATCTTGCTTTGGCATCCCGCAAAGAATCTATCAAGTTATTGGAGGGCCTTGAGCGGCGCAGGTCCATCCTTCCCAAGGCTGAACAAACCCTAAGGCTCCATGTGCCCATATAGAACATGGGTAGTTCTCTACATTAGGGTCCCCTTTGGCATCTTTTTATAAGGGTGACGTAATATATTTGGGATTTTAAAAGAAACCGCAGAGGGCTTCCTATATGGAGTACGTTAAACCCTCGACTCAGTTTCTGGGTAGTTCTCTACAACACCCCCGAGAAAATCAAAATTTCCAAAACCTTTTAGAAACCATAAACCGTAAACCCTCTTAAACCCTAGCAATCTGGACTCTGCCTGCACCTCCGGCGAAGGTGTGGCCACCGGACCTGAAGGACCTTTCGGGCTTTGGGGTTTAGGGCGGTTGGGGGTTGGGGGTTTAGGGTTTGGGGGTTTTTGGGGTTTGAGGGGTTTGGGCTTTAGGACCCCCCCTCAATACCCCCGGAACTCAAGTATAAACCCCCCCTCACTCATAAAGCACGACGCCCTAAACCCATTTTTGGGAGAGTTACGTGATGTTGGTTTGCTTAGTTTTGCGGGAATGCGACCCTGCCAGCATGGCAGAGAGAGAAACTGCGAGCACTGCAGAACTTCGGATGAGATTCTCACACTCTCGCAGAGAAAGTCAGCGAGCCAACTCAGGGGGCTTCCGCCCGAGAGAACCGCAGATTTAGAGGATCTCAGAAACCGTGTTTTCCTTAATGACATTCCTTGTTCCTGCAGAATAAAAACAATCCATTCTGATGGAGTACTCACAAAGCCGTTCTTCCGAATTATGAACCCCCCTCAATTATAAACTCCTTCCGAAAAGCGTCCTTCTGGTAGTGCCTGCAGAAGGCAGGAAAATGGAAGCAAACTTTACAAGCCAATCACTTCACTGGGAAAGCTTTGGATTCAAAACTTGGGAAAGCTTTCAGTTCAAAAGGACAGCAGGGTTTAGAAGCCAAGCCCTTGATTGGGAAAGCTTTGTTTTACAAGCCACGGGACTCCAATACTGCAGATTTAGAGGATCTCAAAAACCATGCCTTCCTTAATACACGTACTTCTTATTCCGGCAGCAAATCAAAAAATGCTGGATATTTAGCAAGTGACGAGAGGAGCAGCTTCAGAGTTCGCGAGAGAGGCGGAGTGGAGAGGCGGTGAGAGCCCACGATGCTCCGCAACAACGCTCTTGAAAGAGATACTGTACTGTACCGACTACCACGACCAACCCCCGCCCCCCACTCAGCCCCTTAATAATCAATCCCCCCCAGCCTGGCCCTGAAATCAATCGCGTGTGGGGGGGGGGGGGAGGTTAACAGCCCTACTGGCTTGAGGCTTCTAGGGCTTCGGGCCCGGGTTCAGGGCCAATTAACTACCTCAGGCTCCGTCGAGTGTTGTATGGGATCAGTGGTGTAGCTTAGCTGCTGAGTTCATCTGCATAAAACAATGTTCGCTTTCAGTACTATAGGGTATCATATTATCGCAAAAAGTTTAAAGTTTACTCATTCAGTTAATAAGGTAGAGTTTAGGGTTTGGGGATCATAGCCTACAAGTCTGCAAGGTTTGGGGCTGCAGGCAGGGTTGAAGCTGAATCGCCTTGGCTGCCCAGCAATGACAGCACCTACCTGTCCTAACTCGCTTCCCACGAGTTTCGGCTGCGCATGAGTGCCCTGCGTTCGTTCATTACTCGGGGTAGTCAGCATCTGAATACACAGCCAGGTGTTTGCAGGAACCCGTGCTCCCCGTCGCTTGAGCCTTTAAAGTCGGCCTGCGACTATACGAATGCAGTAGCGAGAGACACGGCACCTATGACTTACGACTTGCCTGCTGCACCACTCAGGAATTGACACAGCTGCTTTTCCAGTGGCTTATAACAAGCTTTGGGATACATAGCTCCCTAGAAACCAGATATCCATGCAGGTTGGCTGTCTTTTGGCCTTCAATCCCCTCCACGACTACAATGCAGCAATCCACTGGTCCTCTCGGTGTTGGTTATGAGTGTCCATATACTCAACATCCAACATGTTCGAAAGCATCCATCCGCTTGTAACTCTTTGAAAGCCGTACCCCCCTAAACCTTTACTAAACCCTAAACCCTAAACCCCTAAACCCCTAAACCCTCAACCCTCAACCCTCCCTCCCCCCTTCTCCTCACAGCCCTAACTGCGGG